CATGATGTGCTAAAAAGTTACCATTCTCTGAGGAGTAGAAGTATAAATAAGGATCCTTAACAATAAAGTAATAAAGTCACATTTGAGCTATAAAGAAGAAAATTAAATACTTTCATATTTAGGTAACTAAATTATTTCCTAATCCCAAGATTATGGGTATGAGAAGAAAGGGTATGAAGAGGAAAGTCATTTCAAGCACTCATTTAATGTTAATTTTTCATTTTCCACTGCTTGCCATCGACTAGGGAATGACTTACCTAAAATGATTTAAAAAAAATGGTTTCACTTCTTTGATCAGGAAGCTCAGAACAGTAACTACGAAGTTAGTAATGGTTTCAGTATTATTGCAAGTCATAATGGAAATGATTTGTACTATGGTAGAGAGAAAAAGGAAAAAAAAAAAAAAAACGCCCAAGAATTGTTAATTAACTTCACTGTTTCTCCACAAATGCTAGGAGTATTAAAAGCAAGACTGCTGAAGTACAAACATCAGGATTTAATGAACAATGGGATGTAATTGAAGTAACAGAGAATGACTTAATCGGGACAGTGGGTTGTTTAATTATGGGGATAATGGATCTTCTGAAAGGGACAAAGTAAATGGAACAGAAGGAGCTGGGGAGTAGTGGGGAGAGCTGCTGTGTTAGAGCAAGCATGGAGACGTGGAACTCTCACGAGAGACAGCGAGGGCTCTGTTACAGAGGAAATAGTTTATTAAACATGACTGTCCCCGAAATGTAACGACTGAGTGCAAAAAGACCCAGGGGGGCAGGCTGGCATAAACCATCAGCGACCGTAGTGGAGGCGGGAAGAATTCTACAGGCATGTATCTGCACTTTTTCTAAGAATTTCTAATAATCTTAAAGACTTTCACATAGATATGAGAACGAGGGCAATAATGTGTTTGTCAGAACACTGTTCCCCAGGGTGCCAAGATGCTATCTCTCAGATACAGCAGATTGGCAGGCTCATTTCCTGGGTTTAAGAGTTCAAAAAACCATTTCTCGCTTAACTTTGATTACAAGTCAACCTTCTCTTGCTAATTCAGCACACTTGCTACGAGTTATTGGTATTGGGTTTTTTCATCTCCTCTTGAAAGTGAAGCCCATGTCCCTTCTTCCGTGTGGTGTGCTTTCCTACAACTGAAGTCCTCACGCCTTCCCTGGCTCCCAAAGTTTCAGGTGCTCTGCTCGGAGATCCTCCTTGCAGCACAGGACACATGCGAATGGAGGCGGGCCCCAGAGTCGCCAGCAATGAAATCAAACATTGCCTAGAATGTTGCAAAGGGAGAAGAACCACAGGGTAATAAGCCTTACTCCTCTCCCAGCCGTCCTATCTGAATTCCCCGCTGGTGGAGGAAGGCAGAGTCCCCGCACATGTGCAGACCCTCCCCGGGCATTCCAACATTCCAACAGTGGGGGATGAGCCTGCGGGGCGGGCAGCAGCCCGCAGAGTGTGGAGGGAGGAGGGTGATTCTTGCCGTGCTAGAGCAAGTGTAACTCTACGGGGGCTTTGCTCAGATATGAGGAAAGAGAGGAATTCTCCTCCCAGAACCCACCGAATGAAGGATTACTTCTCTGGGCCTATTTGTGAGTATAATGATTTCATGTATAAGAAATTGGCAGAATGTCTCCATGTTCTAGAAAACACCCCACACCTCAGGGAGAACACATCCTAATCTTAGAGGTGTGAAACCTAACTTTCAGGTTGCTGTGTGAGGTGCTGTGTTTCTGAGCACTGAGCCACACAGGAGTTTGGGGCCTCTTTTAGATGTGTCCCTGTCATGGCACCAAGCTCTGTCATTTCAAGTTGCTTATGTGGTGGCTCTCGATTTTTTTCTCTGACTTCTTTCCTTGAAAGAATTTAGACACACACACACACACACACACACAGAATTGAGTTTGTTCAGCATACCTTAGTTTTCAATTACATAAACTGCCTCAGGCAAATTTAAGAAAATCAAGATCGCAAACTACTGTGGATACATGACTGGGGTGGAGGATTGGCTTGGAGGTAAGAGAGAAAGAGGGAGGAGAGGAGGAGGAGGAAGAGGAAGGAGGGAGGAGAAAAGGGGAGGTAGAAGGAAGGGGGAGGGGGAGGAGGAAATAGGGGTAGGAGGGAGAGGAGAGGAGGAGGGAGAGGGAGGGGAAAGGAGGAGGGAGGGAGAGGAAAGGGGGAGGAGGGAGGAGTGAGGAGGAAGGAGAAAATTATAATATGATGCTTAAGACTGGGGGAACTTGCCTGAAAGGAAATGAAAAACCTTAAATTTTTTATATTGACCTTCTGCTAACATTTTGTCACACCAGCATCGCCCAGATCAGTGCCTCCTCTGGAGTTTCTAAGGTAACCATCTACCATGAAACAGGTTGGGACAGGTACAATAAAGCATTAAAAATCATTTTTAAAGTGAGGACCCTAGAAACCAGTGGCCCACCCCTTTTCTCGTCTCTGTCTACTGGCAAATCTGAATTTGTAAAGGAAGATTTATCTGGATTTCTAAAATCCTAATTTCCCATTAGCCTTTTCCCCAGGGGCTATAAAGGAAAAAAGATTCCAAGAGTCGACAGGAATCCCTTCAACATCAAGAAACATTTTGGTGAGGAGCTGGGAGTTAACAAATCCGAAACACATGGTCTTAATTGACTGTGAAATAAGTAATGTTTCAAAATGAAAGGCGAAAAAATTGTTGCCATGTCAAGCATTAAAGAGGACTCAAACCTCAGAAGTTGCTTCAGGCATTTGAGTTCTTCCCCGACTTCCAGTCTGGTCCTCTCCTTCCCTCTCCTTCCTGTTGGGGTTCACAGGTTTACGTTTTCATGAAAGGAAATTACTGCTGGATCCCCCCAACCTACATACACTTGCAAATATTTCTCTTTGGGAATCTATGGGGCTTCCAAAATGTTTCAGAGGAAAAGCATACACATCTTTGGGGGTGGGACCTGCATTCCCCTCCTAGGTCAAGAAGGATGTCAATAGGTCCTGAGGCAAAATTTGTCTTTTGTTCTCCAAGACAGCCAGGGGCCCTGTCCAAGAAGGCTGTGCCTTGGTCATGCCTGCGTCTGTCTCCACCTGGGCTTCTTTCCCAGCAGCTCTGATTTCACAGTCCTGAGGAAAGGCCCAGACATTGGTCTGTCTGGATCGGCATCTCTCTTTTCTTTTTTAAAGATTTATTTATGTATTTTAGAGATAGAAAAAGAGTGAGAGAGAGCATATGCATGTATGAGAGCAGGCGGAGGGGAAGAGGCAGAGAGAGAGAAAAAAATCCCAAGAAAGTTCCACGCCCAGCATGGAGCCTGACACAGGGCTCAATCCCACGACCCTGAGATCATGACCTGAGCCGGAATAAGGAGATGTGAATTATTTAGTAAAGCTTTACACAGAAAGCCATGGCAGTCAATGTTCTTTTTTTTTTTTTTTTTTGAAGACTGTATTTATTTGAGAAAGAGTGAGCCAGAGAGAGAGAGAGAGAACAAGCAGGGGGAGCAGCAGAAGGAGAGGGAGAAGCAGACTCCCCGCTGAGCAGGAGAGACGAGGGACTTGATCCCAGGACCCAGGGATCATGACCTGAGCCGAAGCAGGTGCTTCACCAACAAAGCCACCCAGGTGCCCCACATTCAATGTTCTTAACCCCTGCGATGGCCCCATGAAACTGGCACTATGATCATCCTTCCCATTTTACGGGTGAGGAGACTGAGGCACCAGGAAACTTGCCCCACACCACAAAGATGGGCAGAGGCAGATCACAAACATGCCTGGCCGGAGTCTGTGCCCTCCACTGCATGCTGGTTTACAACCACTGCTCCTTACCGCCTCTTGGCCATGGACAGTTACATAAAAATCAGAACATCGAGAAATGTTAACTCTCTACTCAGGCTCCCGCCTTGTGGATGGCAGTTCAGTGTGATACCATCTTCAGTGGAGGGTAAACTACGTCTGGCAGGGACTTAGAACTGGAAACAGCTGATCTGTGGTCTATCGTCCCACCAGAGAGCATAACCATAACACGGCCCACAGTGACATGGTGCCTTTCCCAATTAGGGAGTGAATTCTTCCAGGATGATTCCACAGGTCTCACCATCTAGAGCGAAGCCACAGGAGACTCAGCTCCCTTACTGAGTAATACCAAAACCTCACTGTCTTTCTTCCCTCCTCCTCCACTAATGAGATTGTGAAAAAGCCCTGAGTCTCCATAAAGCTAAAGACCAAACCAAATGACAACGATCTCTTTCCCCAGTCTCTACGAACAGAAAATGCCGAAGTAATTTTGGAGATACTTGTCACGCTTGGCCCTGTCTTTACAAATCGTGAATATGCAAGAAATTGCTCTCTCTTCCTTTAGGAAGGGAAGAGGCTGAGGGTGGGATGGGGATGGGTGAAAAGAAGTTCTCGAATGGGTGAAACCCTCCGGCAGCCAGGCAAGCATCTTCCTGTAGTGATTTACAGCGTTCCTCTAAAAATATCTATGAGATCACAGAACATTAAGTGCGTGACACCAAACATTTGTAACTAATCCATGAAAATAAAGTAAGGGTGTCATGTTGCACGGGGAACACAGTGGAATTTGTCTTGTGTTATCGTTCTAAAATAAGACGGCCTCAATTTGGTTGAAATATATCTTCACACATTGTCTTCCAGAGCAGAGCCGTTTGAGAAATTCTGATTGCAATTATAAGCGCTGAATAGGGAGTACTTTGCATTTCCTTTGACGATGCTGAAAGCTATAAGCTTTCCTGATATTAAAATCTTTGGAAATTGATGAGTACCCCAGGCATCATTACAATTCTCCCCCCCATCCAAGTAATTAAAATCTATTATGTGAACACGTGTTAATATTTTATCAACTACTGTTTTTAATTAACTCATCGTCTGAGGCCTCCTGCAGTAGGAACAATGTCATTTTGTTTTAAGTGACCGCCGTTAAAACCCCCATCACCCCGACACCGAGCTCCCAGTCCGGCTCTGTTCCAGGGCGGGGGTGGAAGGCGTCCCAGCCAACATACCACGGTACTGAATTCCGGAACCTGCCACAGCAGCCAGTCCTCGTTCAGGGTGTACAGGGCTTTGCAGGTGATCACATCCACAGGACCCTTGTTTATTTTCTGGTTCAAAGTCGTCACCAGCAAATAGAATGGCTCTCCAACCGTCTCCTTGGAAGAGACACAAGAGTGACAGTCAGCGGTCTGCGGAATCCACTGTACTTTCCAAAGAGTTAAAGTTTCAGTTTATGGCAGTGCGACAGGAGACAGGAGGCAGTGTTTTCTAACAGTCAACATGAGACTCCCAAGAAAACACACATCGCTCCACTCAGGATTGGGCACAAAACTCAGGCGATGTGTCCTTGCCCCGCTGCACGCGCGCCCAGACACGCACATGCACACACGCACACAGAGTCCCAGTCAAGAGCAACACCAAGTCTTCAGCGGGTGCTTCTTTGATGTTGAAGCTTCTGGATGTCAGACTGATGCTCATCAGCAGGCTAATGCCTAGAGTAGAGGCGGAGGGTTAACCTTTGCTTATATCCCTATTTAATTGCCTTTTTGAGCAAACCGAAAATAAATGGCATTTAAAGAAAAATACACAATTAGCCTTGGTAACCAGAATAAATGTCAGAACATTTTGTACATTGGCCAGGGAGGAGGCTTTTTGGTGGTAAGAGGTTCTAGTGAAGGAAGCGGCCTTTAGTTATCACAACTTGCAGCCATCCCGGCCAGCTCGCTGTGGTTTGCAGAACTGTGGGTGCACAGACACCCTTGAGCACCTTGGCTGGTGGGTGGCTACTAATGCTCTTGAACTCCCTTCCCTGGACCAGAGCCAAGTCCATGGCTCGAAGACTTACCCTGGGGTTTGGCTCATCCCAATCGCATCTGTCTGCAAACATCTGCTGTGGGCACTTACTCCTCGACCAGGGCTCGCCCTCTCATGCTGACTGAGATGCCTCCAGCCTTATAGCCGCCCTCGCTTGCTCACACTCTGAGCAGCTCACGCGGGAGGCTTGTGTGTTCTGCTTCCACGGACGCCTCCCAGAGCATGCAGCCCTCCATTGGCAGTAGCACGCTCACCAAATAATCAGTGTCTGCAATCAGCGGGCATTAACCAAGCACATGGAAGAGGAAGAGCTCAGGCCAGAACATGGCAGTCAAACCCTTAGTGATGAAGAAGCCAGCCAGATGACTGAGGCTCCAAGCACTGTTTCCAGTCAAGCTTCACCGTCTGGCTTTCAAGGGAGGGCTCCGTCAGCTCTCTCCCCTGCTCTGCCTTGAACAAGTCAATGGAGACCTCTTGCAAGACTCCTGACATCCCACCCTGCGTCCCTACAAGGACACATGTCCTCCCCAGTTCCAGGGCTTCCTTCGACCCCCTTCTGCCACCCCATTCCCCACTGGCTTCCCATCACTTTTCCCGTGACCTCTTCTCACTGAATCTTCTCACTTAATCCTGTGAGGGAAGTACTGTTACGACCATTTTGCACAGGGGTGTGTTGGGGCACATGGAATAGATGTGATTTTCCCCAGATCCCACAGCTGATGCGGGATTTTTATCCCTTTTCTCTTCCCTGCTGACATATCCTTGAGTCTCTTCCTTAGTGTAGGACAGAGGTGGAATGTTCGAAAATTTCCCAGATGGGGAGAGGGTTGGGACTAGCACCTGACGTTTCAGTTCTTGCAGACACTTCCTTTATTTAGTGGTTCACAACCACACTGCTCTCTTCTCTTTCCCTCTGCCCTCTGGGGTAATGTCCTGACTGCAAACCTAGAACTTCTACTTCTCCTTTTTCCTCCAGCACACATCAGAGACAGGGGTGGGTGTCCTTGTGAGCCTCGTGGGCCAGTTGGGCCACCGAGGGTGCAGCTGGGGACTAGGTGGGCTCTGTGGGCCTGTGTGGAAAGGTAGCTACAGACTCGGAGTCTCTGCAGTTAGGAGTTCCCCAGAATTCTCCAGAATGCCGCCAGCCTGAGAGAAGTGATATTTGGTCTTATACTGTTACCCTACTCATGGTTCCAACCCTGGGTAATCATTAGCAGAACTCCCCAGGGGCTCTCATAAAAAATTCAGATGCCTGGGCCCTACATTAGACCCCCAGACCCAGAATATCAGAAAAGAGGCCTGAGCTTCTGTGGTTTGAACACCTTCCCAGAGGGCTTTGAAAACCATGAGGGTTTTTTTGTCACTATTAAACACTAGTCCTCCGTTAGTCCTACCTGCTGGGGCCTTAGGTGTCTTATCAGAGCAGGGAACACACAGCTGCTCAGGTGGCCGGCTGTAGCCAAGTGCACCTGGCCGAGCCCCACCCGCCCCGCCCCACCTGGATGGGAACGAAGCTCGACCCCCTTCACCTACCTTTCCTTTGTGAGACCAGACTCCGGCCCTGGCTGAGCCGGAGACTTTCACGCTCGTGATCTCCTTCCAGCCCTAAATCCTCCCTAAGCCTCTAAGAAGGTACCCATCTCCCTAGGGAAGTGGTAGCTAAGCGCTCTCAAACCCTGGTGCCGTCCCTCGCCAGCTGTGGGATCTGGGGAAAGTCACCTCTATTCCCCGTGCTCCAAATCCCGCCCCCCCCCCCCCCCGCCCCATGCAAAGTGGCCATAACGATCCTTCCCTCACAGGATTAAATGAGAGGCTTCAGTGCGAAAAAGTAAGCAAAACTCCTAGCATGACGTCTGGCACATTCGACAAACGGCAGCTGGCATTACCACAGCACTCGCAGAGCCCTGGAAGCTCAGAGGAGGTGGGCACCTGGGGGTCACCGGCTAGGGGCATCCAGGCAGATGTCTGTGGGGACAGGGCACAGGGACCAAGGCTGTCGGAGTCCCACATCCCCTCAGGCACTGGTTGTGGGAAGTCAGACCCCCCTGCGCCAGAGGGAATTTTTCCACCGAAATTGAAAGCACCACTGGGTGGCTCGAAGTCACTTCCTCCTGGTAAGAGTGCTGCCCTTCATGTCTCGAGTGCTCAGGATCCTCCTGAACCAGACTGCAGGATCAGGACCCCGAATCCTTGGCTCGAGGGAGCCGTTTGGGCTTAGGGCCCGGAATTTTGGACTATCTTACCCCTTGTAGGCCCAAGGGCAGCAAGAGCAAGTCTCCAAGAGCAAGATCACAAGAAAGGCTAGAAAGAAATTTAAAACCAGTGACGAGGCCCTTCACTCTGTGGATAGAAAACATTTGTCTGGAGAAAAGGTGCCATTCCCAGAGACGCACAGTCATCTGGGGCTGAGATGAGTTTAGAGCCCGAACCTGCTGTTTCTAACCAAGACTCCCAGTCCAGTGCTCTTTGTACCACCCCAGGATTCTCAAATGCAAGGCATGTGCAATTATCCCAAGGAGCTTGGCAAACATCGGTTTCTGGGCGCCCCCCCACCCCGCAACCAAGGGCTTCTGATTCATTGGTGCTGGTGGTGGGGCAGGAGTCTGACTTTGAAGACCAAGACCCAGCACTGGGTGTGGGTCTTGCCTGCCCTCTTTCGATGCAGTTGTGGCTGAAGCAAGAATGGTGGGAAGCGAAAATATGAAAATATTTGTCCCAGAAATAACTGCTCAACACCTCCCCAAAGCGTATGATGATTTATACCAAGTAAACAGAAAAGAAGGCAGATTTCATTAATCTTAATAAATGGGTAGTGCCTTGGGAGAGGATGGCGTTGGTAAAAAAAAAAAAATGTTGTGCATCTACTTGTAAGATTGCATTAAACATTAAACTAAGCACAGTCTATTTAAAGTGCTGCTTTTGGATCCAAACTTAAGTAGCACTGTTAAAACCTGTGGCATAGCAGTGTATCTTATTCAAAGTTTAATTAGATTTTGGAACTGGCTACAAATACACAATTATGCAGTTTTGCTGGAATCTGGATGGCTGGTGAAATTAAAGAAGGATAAGAAGCTTCTGTACCAGGGGCCTCGGAGGGGCTGAATCACGATGATCGGGTTCAACGGGACACTCCTCTTGTCCTATTATTTTACACCAGTAACGGTCAACATTTACGGAGTGCTTTCTTGGTGCTAAGCCACTGCACCCATTCTCTCATCTGGGCTTCAGAGCAGTCCTAAGATAGGGCTCCAGGCTATAAACCCAAGGCTCAGAGAGGTGCAGAAGCCTCCTCTAGCGGGGGACGGGGTCTAGGTACGGACCGGGCAGTAGGCTCCAGGAGCCATGTCCTTGCCCGCTGGAGTCTGCGCCAAGTTGGCGTTCAAAATGATTTTAAGATTCGATCAGACTACGACCACATTCAGACAGTAATTCCAACAAAGCAAACTCGAGGGGCAGGGGGCTCTTTGGGGACTTGCTAAACAGATGGAATAATGTGGGATGACTAGTTAGAACTGAGCGTAATCAGCTTCCAGTATGAGGAGGTACATGGGTATTTCCAAGATGTTTCAGAGGCCCTGCACGCACTGGGTTCCCTTAATATTTGAAATATCCCCTCCACCCAGGACATTTTCTGGTTTCTGGTTGTCAATTACTGATGTGAGGGTGGGCTCAAAAGTCAGTGGTATAAAATCTCAGTTATGCAAGATAAGTATGTTCTAGAAGTCGATCATACAACGTCGTGCCTACACTGTGGGGCACCCCTTAAAAATCAAGTAAGAGGATAGGTTTCATGTTGTTTTTTTTACCACAGTAAAATTATTTAAAAGAGAAAAAAAAAAAGATCTAAATGAACTGCATTTCCATAGGCCAGTTCCAGCAAAAACAATTTTATTTTCCCCTCCATGTGCTCCTCGGAAGGACCGTGTCTACAAGAGGTTAAATGCTGACACCACGGAGTGCTCAGGACTTATCCTGGCAAAGACATCAGCATCTGTTAAAAATAACCACCTATTGTCTTACCTCTGACCCTGACGCGGGAGGTGACACTTACCCGCAGAAAACCGGAAAGGCAGACGGACATCCAGTTTGTGAGGAGTTTCTCAACCACAGACTCTGTGCGTCTTAGCATGAGTTTTGGCTGCATGTTACTGGACTGTTCCATCAAGTCCCTGGTCAGCACCTCCAGGATGCTGGTCAGATAGACCAGCTTGGTTTGCAGTGCAATGGTCAAGAAGGAGGCAAACAGACACCTATTTAAAAACAGAGCCTCGGTTACAATACTCAAGACATCAAGACAACCCACTGTCTGTTAGCAGATGAATGGATAAAGAAAGTGTGGTACATGTGTATACACACCCCCCACACACGCACCCCAGAATGCTGTTCAGCCATACAAGAGAATGAAATCTTGTCATTTGTGACAACTCGGATGGATTGTGGATGGATTGTGGGCCTTATGCTAAATGAAAATGTCAGAGAAAGACAAATACTGTATGATCTCGCTTATATGTGGAATCTGAAAAAAGAAGAAAAATAACCAAGCTCATGGAAAAAGAGATCAGATTTGGGGTTATCAGAAGTGGAGAATGGAGGGGGAATTGGAGGAAGGTGGACAAAACACAGAAACTTCCAGCTACAAGATAAGTAGATGCTACGGACATAACATACAACATGGTGACTACAGTTAACACTGCTGTATCATTTGAAAGTTCTAAGAATAAATCCCGAAAGTTGATTTTTTCCCCTTTTTCCTGTATCTGTATGAGATGATGGCTGCTGACTGAACTTGTTATGGTCATTATTTTGCAACAGGTGCAAGGAAGATCATTGTGTCATACACCTTAAACTTACACAGTGCTGTATGCCAATTCCATCTCAATAAAATGGAGAGAGAAGAAAAAAACCAGATATATAGATGACAAATAACCACATAAACAAAGAGCCTTGGTTAATGAGGTTAACTATCAGCCATGACTAGGTTGACGCTGATGGGAATTTCCATGGAAGCTGAGGGGCAGTGGGGTGCTGTCCTATGGGCACCTGGGTTCTTTTGAATGTCTTAGGTCAATCACCTTTGTCCTTAATCCATAAAAACCATGCACCGGTGTTAACCCAAGCACATTTTATGTGTTTAGGGCTCTTAAACTTAAACCAGAGTGGTAAACAAGAAGTGAATATCTTTCCCAAATTTTTAGGTGTTTTAAAGACAGAAAATAATACTTCTGCTTTTTTGAGTCAGGACTCATGTTTTTTCTCGGTGTTGGGGTTTTTGAGGGCTTTCTTTGTGGGGGAGGAGGAGGAGTGTGTGTGTGTGTGTGTCTTCAAAACAGAAATTGCGTTGGGGTCATGTGACCTACAATGGAGCTATCATGGCTTCATGACCCCGATTAGACAGCCTCTAGATAAATCCGTGTTTTCAAGGCATGTGGACACCAAGTTCAGGTTGTGGTCTGAAAATAAAATAAAGAGCTCATGTTTTTATTTTCTCTATTTAATGACTTTCAAAATGTAAATAAATTGACTAATACCTGTCCTTCACTGAAAAGTTCTTCTGCTTCTCAAGGGTGTGGATGACAGTCACAAGGAAACTTTTATTACAAATCAGGGCATCCAAAGCTGTGAGACTTTCATTCTTGTCAGTGGCATCTCTGTTCTGGAAAAAATAAATGAATATGATATGATATGATATGATGTGATATGATAGGATATAAAATAATATAATAATATAATGTTAAAAACTTAAAGTTAGAAGGTAGATCCACAATGGGTTTTCCAAGACAATGAATTATTTAATACTGAATCCATGATTCCAAAAAGCTCACAAAAATTCAATAGTGGAGATGATGATGACGGTGAGAACACTATGAAAGTCAGGCAGTCATGGGCTAAAAATGAAAACTTATAGACTTACATGCATATCTTCAGTGAAGATGTGTGTGAAGCCACCTGACTGAGAGGAAGGAGACACTTTTATTATTCATAACATCCAAAGGAAATGAATAGTGTATTTTTGTTACAATACCCAAGTCCATTTTAATAAAGCGGAGACTCTGTTTGCTAATCTGAAGAGCCCCCTGGCTTATGTTCATTTTATATCCTCTAATACATAATAAATAATTATTCAGCTCTCAAGAAGCCCCGGTGAGTTCTGAAAGCCTCTAAGAAGCATCGTTATCATTGCATCGGTTCCAGTTTTGGTAGAGGAAGGCATCTCCCACTTTCAAAGAACAGACTCAAAAGTGAAAGAAGTGGTAAAGAAGATTATGCAAATGTGCAGACCACTCTTGAAGCAGTTTGCCCCCTTGGGATAAATACTGAGTTGTGTCCCTAAGTTTCTATAAGTCTTAGTTTTGTAGTATCCACTCTCTCAAGAGACTGTGCCATGGAGATGGGGTGAACGGGGCAGTTAAAAGTTAGAAGTCTGGAGCTAGATTACTTGGGTTTCAGTCTTGGTTTTAGCACCTACTGGTCACATGACTTTGGACAAGTTATATAACCTCTCTGTGCCTGACTTTGCTCATCTGCAAAGTGGGGACACTCCCTCCTAACTCCCATCTCCTAGACTTGGTGTGAAAATAAAATGAATGCGCGCACAGTAAGTTCTATCTCAGCCAAGTTTATTGCTTTTATCACTAATTTATGGCAAACTAGATCACAGTGTTACTGTCCTGCTGGTTTCCACAATTATTTTTATGTGCTATGCTATGTTGCTTCTGGATATAAACTTTTCAATTTGAGTTTCCCTTTTTAATGTATCATAAGTCTTCTTGGAATTAAAGGCTTAAATTTTAAAAGCATGCTGAGTAAAAATGAGTCAACAGAATGAAAATAAAAACATGAACATTCAGGTTTTTCTCTTCCCCTTTTTTGGGGGTAATATTTGAAACTTTAGTCTATTTTTATACCTCATTAAAGTAAATTTCTTCTGCAGAGAATTTTTGCTTTATAGTTTTAAATTTGTTAGCCTAAGCAGAAGACCTCAAACTATTTTGGTCATACTCTCCCTTAGTAATATGCAGAGAACTCATACCTTGGGTTTGCATTTTCTAGGTCCTAACATTTTTCTGCTGAACCAACTTGATATGGACGACAGTTTAAACAGATCGATTCCTGACCTTAAATAGGGAAATGCCACCACAGCTCCCTGTGTTCTAAAGCTCCTTCCTCCTTTCATGTAAATTTCCCTCTTCTAGGAGATGGGATGCACTGCTCACCCTTATTTCTGCTCCTCTTCTCAGCAAAACAAAGTAGTCAATACAATGAAAAGGAAGGCTGTGGAGAGCCAAAAACCGGCACAGAGCCGGAATGGGTCATATGTCGGCCTCTGCAAACCTACCATTTCCTCTGGTTCTGTCTACTGGTGTCCAGTAGGTGCTGACTGTTCAAGTTCTCGGTCTACCAACTGACCCCCAGGCCTAGAGGATGGGTCTCCTGATCTATGACATCACAGACTATGTTCCTCGCTCCTCTAGATCTTTCATTATAAAGTCCATTTTAACTCAGGTCTTGCTAGGGTTCTGATAGTGATGCCCATTTTTCCTGGTCTTCTCCTTTACTGACTCCTCCTGATTTCAGTCTTCCTAGCTTTCCCAGTTGCTCTTCGAGATTACACAGAACTCTGAGTTAAGTCTGTTTGGCTTCCTGCAACTACAGATGACCCTTGATCAATGTGGGGTGGGGGGAGGAACACCGACCCTCTGGGTAGTCGAAAATTGGCATGTAACTTTCCCCCAAAACTTAACTATTAATACATTGCCTGCTGCTGACCGGAAGCCTTACCAATGAATACACATTTTGTATGTTTTCTGTATTATATACTGTATTCTTACCATAGAGTAAGCTAGAGAAAAGAAAATGTTACTAAGAAAATCACAGGGAAGAGGATGTATGTTTATAGGACTGCACTATTTGATTGAAAAAAAAAAATCCATGTATAAGTACACCTGTGCAGTTCAAATCTGTGTTGTTCTAGGGTCAACTGTATCTCTCTTCTAAAATAATACAGCCTTTTTCCCGGGATTTTCTTTTTCCCTCAAAACACTCAACTTGCAATAGCATCTTTTGCATTCATCACTTATCTCGCTCTTGATTACTGAATTTAGAAGATAGGACAATTTCTTTTTCAGGCCACAGATGACTCTCTTCAGCACTCAAGGGCAATCATTAACTGTAAAAACCCACACAAGCCTCGTGTGGATGGTAGAAATCGCTGTTGTTTTATTGCTATTAAATTCTTAATGGGCATCTCAGATAGCTGGGAAATAGGACTCATGATGTCCCGCATAGTCATCCTGATTCAGGGAATTGACCTTTCTCCTTCGGTGGTGTTCTGCCATGGGAATGGGTGGGTGAGGGGGCAAATACAAGCCTTGGTGCCTGACACTCTGAGAGGAGAAGTTTAAAAAAGTATATTTACAAGCACAAAAAACTGAAGTCTTATTTATAGTCTTCTTGATTTACAATAGGAAGGCCTGGACCCCCCCCATCCCATATATATATATATATATATATATATATATATATATATATCGTGGGTGTTTTATATGGTGGATGTTTTATGGAGGTATCCCAACCTCCAGACACAGCATCACATATCATGGTGTCTGCTTCTAGAAATATAGAGAAGCTGGAAATTGCTTACTGCATGTGTCTGAGTTTCTGAACCCTAGGCTTTGGGCCAAATGTAGCTGAGAAGCTTCAGGTAAGGTGATACAGCTCTGTTTTGAACTGGCTTTGCTCAGAAGTCTAGATTGAAATATGATCGTCTGTGTTGATGTTCCAGAGTTTGGGCCCCTCTGTGGTCACCAGTGAGTGGAGTGGGGGGGCGGGCAATCAGGATGTGAAGGTGAGGATGGGCAGATGAGTGTACTTTGCTCAAGACTTGGGAGTGTAAAGGACGAAGGCTGAGTGAGTAGGAGACAAGATGGAGGCGTCAGAACAGAGCAAGATGAAAATCTAAAGGGTTAAAGGAGACTGACTGCTCCTTGGGGTCCCAGGGTGCATTCATCAATCATTTCGTGCATCTATTTCTACGAAATGAGGATGATATGGACTGATCAGCAGAGAACAAATGTTGGAGAGAACCATGAAAAACTCGACATTGCTAAAAATGGCTGCTATCAACTCAAATTCTCCCTCCCTCCCTCCTGGCCCACAATACTTTTCATTTCCAATTGAGAAGTAATAGTGAAAAATCTAGTAGCTGCAATGGAAGTCATGCAGATAAACACAACAAATTGGCCAGCCCACAATTTATTGATTTTTAAATAAACTAGCTCGCTTCCCAGCTACAAATTCAGCTCTAAACAGGTAGTAAAATAAAACAAAAATCATCACTCTGAACTTCCGTCCCTCCTAGGTTTTTGTTACTGGACAAAGAATAATCATCAGTGACCCATCACTGCTTTATGCCCTAATCAATCCAATTCATAATTATCATTCTCCCTGCTTTGCTCAAACTGAAGCCCTTATTTCGTACCAAGCACATTATCTATAGCTGCCTTGGAAGAAAACACCCGTTTTTTGATGAGAGCAACAAGCTCCTTCATTATTATTCAAGACTCAACCTTAAGGAATATGATCAATGCTCTTTTACCTCGGGGAAGAAAGTTCTCAGAGCAAAATGTTTGTAGTCAAGGAAGGGAACGGTTCCAAAACTATCAACCACATCCAATTTATCCATCTGCAGCTCAGCAAAGCCTGCAAAACAGAATCCCAAGAGCAATATTTTAACTCAACAAACAATGGATAAGATCTTCTGCTGTTTTGTCTAACACGGAGGATGACCTTGGTTTTCATTAAAGAAGAAACAATAGATAATTACTTGGTTGGCTGCAGAACAGAGCTGAAATAAACACAGAGCCAGGCCTAAACCCCACCGCTCAGATGTCTTCTATTATACAAACAGTTCTTGTTACTCTGGCCAGCTCCATTTAACGGGGCGGGGTGTGGTGGTGGTGAGAAGATTGTTAAAAAAAAAAAAAAAGTCAAAAAAAACCCTCGTTTTTCCACAAATAAAATTTTGGAGCCTACCATCACGTATCTCTTTCCGGAGCTCACTCTCCAGGAGCTCCAGCTGTTGGCTCTGTTTGCGGCTCAGCTCCTTCGATTTGTGCCTGGTTACCCCCACGGCCGCTGAGGAGACAGACATCTAGCATCAGATTGACACGTTAACTTCAAAAACAAAAAGGAAAACAAAGCCAACCTTGACGTTTCTTTTACAGAGAGAGAGAGAGAGAGAGAGAGAGGAAGAGAGAAAAGAACAGCATTTAAGAGGTGGCATTTATAAAGGGAAAAAGTCCCAATGAGGGGTCACTCTAAAGAGGAAGATGCTGAAACGCAACAGGGAAACAGAAAACCACCCACCTTAAAAGTAAGAACTAAATCAAATAACCTCGCTTGTAACCAAAGATCCCAGCTGGCTGAAAAGTAATGAAATAAGCCACGTTTTCCCTGCAGCCACGGGCTGCTGATATTGTTCCATTCTTTTTTTCAATGTTTCTAAACATCCCTGGAGAAATAAAGTCGAGCCACAATTGCAGAAGGAAATCGCAGATCCATGGCGAGCTCCATAAGCAAACTTGCGTAGATCAAGTCGGCTGACGTGGGGAGCGGTCCACAATGAGCCCTGGCATCTGGGACATGGCTTCTTCCCCACTTTGTCTTGTTTCTAACTGTGCTGTTGAGACAGTGCCCTGAACACTCTTGGTTCACATCCCCACTCTTCCAATTACGAGCTGTGTGACCCCGGGGTAAGTTCCTTAGCATCTCTGTGCCTGGCTGCCTTATTGGTCAAAGGGCTCACACCTCATTGTGATGTTGAGACGAATGCAAGAAGTAACTCACAGAAAGCATTCAGAAGTTGTTTTTTAAAAAGAATATTCAACAACGGTCAACTACGTTATTATTCTGGAAAGGTTTCCCTCCTTTAATAGCAACTGCATGATCGAAGGACCCGTAGATATGAAGGATCCTGGAGGAAGCAAAACTCAGTCCAGTTCTTCACTGGACCATTTCACAAAGTCAACAGTCTTCACCATAACATGCACCATGCATCTTCAAAAAAGGGTGGGGCGCACAGTGATTTCCAAACTTATGTGACCACGGAACCTCTTCCTCCAGGAGCATGACTTGGGGTCAGCGTTCTTCGGGCCACTCTTCAGGCTACATGGGCTCAGGGCAGGGAAAGGCAGTGAGGCTACGGCACCCACCCAGCAGTGGGTTTTTGTTGGCTGACAACTGGGGAAGCCACAGTGGGGATGTTCAGAAGGCAGCAGGCCTTGGCCAGGACGCTTTGTGTTTTCACTAATGACGTGACTGATGGGCTAAAATACTTGTACACTTTACACCTGCTCAAGCTGCTGGTCACCCATGATGGCCTAGAATCATGGCAAGAAGGGGATGATTTAAAGGACTCTGCCACTACCAGTGGAGCCAAAGCTATGGGTCAAAGTGAGCCCACCTCACTGTAAAGAGCACAAACAACATCTACGACGCAGTGAGGGGACAGGAGCTCTGAGTCACACACGGCACAGGAAGAGATCAGAGGCTGCTAGTAAGTCACAAAGCGGAGAGGACTTTATGGGGAGACTGCTGCCTACAGCTGCTTGCCACTGGCGGATTCTCAAAATAGAGCTCAGCGTTTAGAATTTATAAGTAATCTTCTTACTTGAAGGCAGTGCCAGCCAGGACTTTATTAAAATATCAAGCCCAATTCTGGATTCCAGCTACAGAACAGGGGTGGACAACGTGAGAAGAAGCCACAAGGCAGTACCTGAAATGACCATCCACAAGCCAAAATAGGGCCTCTGCAAATGAATTCATTCCATCGGGCCAGTTAAACACACACAGAAATCTTACCCTCTCTAGACTGAGAACCCACTGGGAGAAAGGGCCGGGCCTTCCCTCATGCTCTCTAGCTCTGGAGGCTTGCACTGTTACCGACAACACATATGTTCGGCAGACGCAAGGTAAGTGGGTGTGGGGATGGATGAATGAAGGAGTGCATGGAAGGAAACAGTAGCAACTATTAACAGAAAGTGCTAGAAAGGCAACACCTGTGTGAAATCAACTGATGGGAAGTGCTCTCTCAGTTGGTGGAGAGGGGTTCTATTTCTGAGATGGACAAGGGGAAACAGACTTTGGATGAAAAGCAGCTCAGAACCAGGTCACACACTAAATTGTTACAGGGGTCTGGATTGCAGGTGAGTCACGTGGCCCAGGTGGAGACAACAGGGAGTGGTGGGGACTGTGGCAAAACCCCAGTGACCACATGCCCTCCCTCACGGTGCCACTGCTATTCAGCTCCCGGAAACTGATGCTATGGGAAAGTGGAGATCCAATGAGCCAGATCTTTCAAATTTTCTAGAGATATTTTTAAAAATGTGACTCAACTTAAATTTTTTTTTAGTTGAAGTACAGTGGACACAAATGTTACATTGGTCTCAGGTATACAACATAGGTGACTCACCTAATTTTAAAATGCTATCAGCTACTTCATAGTTAAAAAAATGCTGTGTGGGCCAAACAAAACAGATTGGTGGGCCAGATTCAGCCAGCAAGAAACAACCCTAAGATCGCTGTGCTCAGATGAGCCTTGCGACATTTTAATAGATGGTACAGATCATGCTTCTAAAAGGTAGTTCTGCCAGGAAAAGCAGAGCTGGGGTGGGAGCAGGGGGTGGTGTTTGGTGAGGTGAGAAGGCAGGAGGAGATGACCAGATCCTGAAAGTCCAAAATGCCAGAGGAATTCTGAAGGAATAATGTAAATGGGACATCTGTCATCATGATTCACAGTATTGGGGAAGAAAAGTGGACTATGTTTCTCACACACCAAGATGCCACCTTTGTAATCCAGCTTTGTACTGATGAGGCATTCTAAAGAATGCTTAGAAAGCCCTCAACGTGTACCTGTGATTCCTTTCCCAAAGTTGTGATTTGGGTTTTCACCTATTAGTACTTAATTGAGGCAGACAGTCCCTGAAAGCTGAGAGTCTGCTGGTCTGACGAGAGGCCCCAGGGAATCATTTCTCTGACAAAATCGAACAGGGCACTTACCAAAGATGACAATCACTAGCAAGACGGGAAGGACAATCAGAAAATACCAAGTGGTAGGAACTGTTTCCTGCTCAACGTAGAGCTCCAAGTTTCCCAGTTTGACCTAATGGGACAGAATGTCATTAGACTCATTGAGTTCGGCACCATATTTATGGACACACTTTTTCCTCCAGATCGTTTCCCCCAAGATACAAAAAGGTGACAAGCTAGGTGGGATATATGAATTCAAGTCCCACCTCAGATGGGTTGGCTATGTGAACTTGAGCACATCGAGAACATTCACTGTGCCTCAGTTTCCAGATATGCCAGTTGAGGAGCACTGGACTGCACCTGGAGATTTTAGAATTGAGTCCTCTTTGCCCTAGGGGTTTAACATAGCCTTACCTTATCCTTACCTTCCTCACCTCTAAAGTGGGATGTGGATAGTGACTCTTCAAAAAGTTGTCTCAAAGACTAAATGCATCATTTGAGTGAATGGGCTCAAGGCAGTCCTGCCCAAAACTCCCTAGTGGCTTCCCAAAGTTCAAAGCCAAGCCCTCACTATGGCTCACACATTTTTTTTTTTGTTTTGTTTTTTGTTTTTTAACTCCCCCCCACCAAGATGTTATTTATTTATTTGAAAGAGACAGAGATCACAAGCAGGGAGAAGGGGTAGTGGGAGAAGCAGACTCCCCACTGAGCAGGGAACCCAATGCGGGACTCAATCCTAGGACCCTGGGATCATGACCTGAGCTGAAGGCAGGTGTTTAAACAACTGAGCCACTCAGGTGCCCCGGCCCACACGTTCCTAATGATCTGTTACCTCTCCGTACTCCCTTGGTTACTTCTCCAGCCTCCTTGAATACTCCCCCTTGCTCCCTCTGCCCTAGCCACACTGGCCTCCTCATTGCTCCTCAAATGTACCAGACAGGCTCCTGCCTCAAGACCTTTGCAACCTGCAGGTCTAGAACTCTCTACCCCAGAGAGGCCCTGGCTCATTCCCTCTCCTCCTGGAGGTCCTTACTCAAATGTCGTCTTCCCAGAGAGACCGTAGCTGCAAGGTCTCTTGGCTGCAGCACTGCCTGCCCCTGCTTCATGCTTCTCCGTGGTGATCACCACCACCTCATACATTTTTCATATACATTCTTCACTCCACGTCTTTTTAGGTAATCCCCGCAAAGGCAGAACTTGGGGGGTCTGTTTTCATCTCCCCTGTGTTCTCATCACAGAAGAGGCACTCAGAGACCATTTCATGAATAGAGATAGCTAGCGTTGCTCTCCTCAGCCAGTGTGCCTGTGGGGGCGCTTTTGAGTTCAGCTGTCATTACTGTTGATCATATTGATTATTGATTGTCATACTGATTATTGGTTATCCTCTTTACCACACAGATGGACCACGGGAGGCTCAGCTAAGCCAAGTGACTTACCTAAGGCCATGCAACTATTAGCTGGCACAGCTGGGACATGAACACATATTTTGTGTGTGTGGGTGGGTGGGTGTGGGTGCTCTAGTCTGATGCTCTTTTTTCTTGACCTTTATTCAATATTTATGACTACAGATCATAAAGCATTTTGGGGGGTATAGACTGTGGAGAGCCTCATATGGCATGAACAACATCAAGAAAGACTTCTAATAGGTTTCTGTTCCAAGGGTCTCCCATCTTCATTGTGGGACATAAATTTACCCATGATGGGCCCCTCAAAACATGTCAGGAGGAGAACTGTGGCAAGCCTGACTCCATGACGGAGGAAGCAGCCCGCGGCCCGGAGATCATCTGGTCTCCATCAGAATCGAATGCTACTCTGAGTGTTCTGGGTTTCCGCTAAGACATGTCATCCTTACATGTGGCAAAAGAATGACGGCTTGTTCATCCGTGATCTGGAGATTCCACTTGCAGGTGCTACTCTAAATGTATGGCCAGAACAAAAGCTATCAAGGCTCGTTAGCATTATAGACAATGGCGCGCTCAATGCTTTGACATTCGAATAGGCATATGGATGGGTTCCGCCAGTTATTTTGGAAGAATTGTGAGTGTGCCTGCAATAGCAGCTTTGTTTATCTGCTATTTAAAGCTAAGAGCTAGAGATCTGTGACAGATGCCAGTCTGGCTCCCGTGTCGCCAAGCAAGTGTCTCAAATAAGGTATAATCAATAGGTAGGACCATCAGGTGACTTACACGAACTTTCTTGGATGAGGTGTCGATGCTGTTTGCATTACTGATGCCTTTGATTTTGCAAAGGATGATGGTGAGATCTTGATTTCTCGTAATGTTTTCAAAACTGCAATTTAATTGCTCGTTTTCCCCGTGGAAGAGGGTGATTTCAATGTCTGTCTTGGAGATATTGAACTCGTCATTTTCTTTCTGTGAAGAACAAAGAGGAGAAGAAGAAATCAGGGCACCCAAGGGAACCCACAGACCCAAGTACACCTGGCCCGTCGAGGTGGGGGGGCGCGTCCCACCCAAAGGAAGCGAGAAACATACTTGAATTTTCACTTCCAGCTCTGTGTCCCCCTCGGGTTCGACCCGACACCCCGTGAACCTAGGGTCCTCAAGATACTGCAGGCTTCCGCAGTCCAAGAAGGTGTCCTGGACTCTCAGCTTCACGGTGACGTTCGTACGCGCTTTTGAACTCTTTAAACTGGGGGCTAAAAACCTGCAGGAATTTGTCACACAATATTCAGAGACCTGAGGGAGGAGAAAAGAGCATTTTTAACAACTTCATTCCTAGGCACCTGGGTGGCTCAGTCGTTAAGCACCTGCCTTTGGCTCAGGTCATGATCCCAAGGTCCTGGGATCAAGCCCTGGGCTCCCTGCTTGACGGGAAGCCTGCTTCTCCCTCTCCCACTCCCCCTGCTTGTGTTCCCTCTCTCACGGTCTCTGTCAAATAAATAAATAAAACCTTTAAAAACAAATAAAAACAAACAAACAAAAAAACAATTCAAAAAGCAACAAAGATCAACTTTGTTCCTGAGCCCCAACCCTGCATAGGAGGGGCAAGATGACCTGGGCAACTGAACTTCTCTGTGCTTCTAATTTCTCATCTGCAAAATGGGGAAACTGATACTACCCTCCCTTTACAGGGCTGAATGAACCCGAAATCAAATTAAATCTGATGAGGGCTCATTCAACTAAACGGGAATGAAATTACATGGGATTACATGTGCAGAAATGCTTGAAATCATGCCAGGCACACAGTCAGCACTCCACAGATGCTAGCTGCTGTCCCTGCAAATGTTCTTAGCGATTGCTCCTGGGGGCATGCAACGGAGAAAGGGGCGCAGACAGTAGGAGCCGAGACAAAGAGGGATGCTTGGCACCAAAGACTTTGCAGGGTCTGTGTGTCCTGTGAGTCCTTGAGGTGGGCTGGGAAATGCAGGCAGGGAGGGGACCGTCCCCCAGGGAGGCTGCGGTGACCTGCACACCACTGGCCACATCCCTCCTCATCCAGGGAATGTCTGTGGCGCTTAGCGGAAATCACTGACCCCAAGTGAGGAAAAGGTTTTGCAGGTCTAACAGGAAATCAGGGAAACAAAAGCAAAAGGGACAATGTGGCCCCATGAAAATGCAATGCATGAAGCATGGAAAGAACACAGAAAGTGTTTTACAGGTTTATTCATAAAAAAATGTCAATACTGTCATTTTTTGGGGTGCAGAGATATGGTCACAGAAAGCCCCTGGAAAAGAGGAGGTTGACTAAGGTCTTGAAGAAGAACAACCGTAAGGGCTCCTGGCTGGCTCAGTCTGCAGGCTGTGCGACTTGACCATGGGGCTGGGAGTTTGAGCCCCATGTTGGGTATGGATGCTTGAAGATAAAATCTCAAAACAAAATAAAACAAAACAAAAACCCCAAGACAAAAAAACAAAAGAGAGCAATAAGACTTGTGAAAAAAATCTCAGGTGGGAGTTTACCTGTTTTTTACTTTCTACTATTGGAGATGAAAAGAGAGGGTGGGAGAGCACCTGTGTGGCTCAGCTGGTCAAGTGTCTGACTTGATTTCAGCTTGGGTCATGATCTTGGGGTTGTGGGATTGAGCCCCACACTGGGCTCCACATTTAGAATGGCATCTTCTTTGGACTCTCTCTCTCCCTTTCCCTCTGCCTTGTACCCCCATGTGCTCTCTCAATCTCTCTCTATAATTAAAAAAAAAAATCTTAAAAAAAAGAAAGAAAAAGAAAAGAGAGGGTAGGAAGAGGCCATAGGTGGGAAGATCTGACACAAAGGGCTAAGACAGACAACACCTCCTTCCCCCTGAATACCTCTCTAACCCTGGATCTCTCATGTGCATTTCTGGTGATGTGAAGAACCAAAAACTGGCTCTGGCTGTGTCAGGGGGCGGATGTGTGTATGACGAGGCTGTAAGGATGACTCAGGAAGGCCGTCTGTGCCTAGGCCCCAAGCCACATGGGTCCGAAGCACGGCCATGTCTGTGGCCACAGGCACACCTGCCCACTCTGGCAGGAAGTGGTCAGGTGGGGCCCGGAGAGGCTGCTTCTCTCACATCTCTTGTTAAAGAAGGAGAGAAAGGAGAAGAGAGAATGGGGAGAGCACTCGAGAAGAGGGTCAGTGTGCCCTCAGAGGCCCAACCTGTATCTGAAATGCATCATTTTGTGGGATGAGGCGCTTCTGTGCCTCCTGTTGGTGCTAACGAGTGGACAAGGGCTGGGAACCAGACCACCAAATGGGGAAAATGCCAGGTAAGAGGAGGCCAGGTCAGAAGGAAAGGGACCAAATCAGACAATGGCAGGAAAGGGAGGAGTTGATGGCAAGATTTCAGGGACTCGGGCAGGTCACTTGGCCTCAGAACCTCAGCTCTGTCCACACAATGGGAACGCCATCACACGCTCACCCCTCACAGGCATTTTCACACTTATTCCTAAACATTGTCCCATTATAGTGCCTCCCTACAAAGTCCACATGGCGACAATGGCAGACCTTGTCACACCAAGCTCATTCTCTCTCCTCTGTGCCACAATGGGAAATACTGCACCGCAAGGACAAGGTCTTATTACTGCCCTTAGAGCCCAGATGCTGTATATCCCCCAACAGGTAAAATCTTGTAAAGGCACAGAAATAAAAGATACTCCCCAAGGGACGGTAGTGTGATGAAAACAAAATCATCCTTGAAAATTACTATTATTACAAGGTAGCTGAAGACTTACATTTATGTTTCCTTTTAACTCGTGTGAAATGATTAAGTTGTCAATTACGTCAAAATTTCTGCCCACGATGGTTATATTTTGACCACCACTGCAAAGAAAAAAGCAACAAGAGGAGTTTCATAGTAAACAGGCAGGCATTTTGCATTTATGAACAAAGCTATCACTTTATTCACACTTAATATAAAACTCAGTTATGTTTGAGAGCCAAGTAATACATTTTAATTTCAAATGTGGGACAATTCTATAACTCTTTTAATGATACTGGCCACAAACGTATAATTTTTAAGATATATAAATACAAAAATTCAGGTCAGATCCGGCGTTAATTCTAGGAAAATGCCCAAATTCTTTTAGAGAATTTGGAGCCTTGCTGTGTCACGTTGCCACATATAATCAGATCATTGGCTATACCCTGAAAAGGTTTCACTAAACAGAATTTTGTTTGATTGCTGTTTAATCTATATTAAGATACTTCAATCTAACAATTTTCAAAATCAAACTCCCAACCTACCAATTATACTTTATTTAGGGAGATAGGGAACATTTTGGACAAGGTAAAATTATAAATGACATTAAAACTATAAATTCCCATTTGGTAGGCCATATAAATAACAGCTCCATTCTCTCCAAAACCAAGCCAAATGATTTCACATATTCTCAGCACATAATCGCACAGAAGCCAAGTGGTCATTAGATGTGAAATAAACAGCTGTCCCCAGCTCTGGCTGCCCTCATCTACCCCCCCCTCCCCATTCATGTAGGTCATTCCAGGGGACAGGAGCCTGGGAATGTCAGCTCTGTGCATCAGCCGGGCCCAGGGTGACAAGACCGCGAGGTGAGCATGAGGAGGCCAATCTGTGTAGGGCAGAAGGAAGACATGAAGCCCTGACCCAGTCACAAGGGGGAAAGGCTGAGTTGGCCTCATGCCAGCCTGTCGCTGTTCCTAGAAATTGGGGCTGAACTGCCTAAGAGCCACATCCTGGCCTGGGCCTAACTCAGGGTCCCAGGCTCAGATTAGCACAGGTGACTGGACACTAAGAAGCTAATCAAATCACTATGCTGTGCACCTGAAACTCTTGTAATATCATATGTTGATGATACTTCAATTAAAAAAATAATAAAGAAGCCTCTTATTTGATGGCAAAGCAGAATGCTGGTGGTTTGGCTCACAGCAGCCTGAGCCAGAATGCCTGGGAGGCCAGGCAAGTCCTTGTAATGCTCTATGCCTCAGTTTCCTCTTCTGCTAAAAGGGCTCTTCCCTTTGTGACAATAAACTGAGTTAATAGATGAAACACACACCGCATGTGGGAAGGGCCATGTCACTGTTTATGTTTATTAGTAGGAAGGATTGACCCCAGCGGAGGTGGTTCAATGCCAGAGGCTTGGTTTGGAGAGTTCACTTTTTCTCATACCACTGTCCGGGGCAGAATGGTTGAAGTCCCAAGCCCCCCGTCCCTTGTATTTGGAGACAGGGTCTTTAAAGATTAAAAGAGGTCATTGGGGTAGGCCCTAATCCAGTAATATGACTGGAGTCCTTATAAAAAGAGGAGGGTAGGACACAGACAGTCATAGAGGGAAGACCATATGAAGACAAAGGGAAGAGACCATTTACCTACAAGCCAGGAAAAGAAACCAACCCTGCCATCCACCTCTGACTTAATCTTAAATATGAACACTGGACTAGAGGTGTTTTTCTCCTGTTTCTTTTTCTCTTTTTTCTTTTAAAAACAAAGGTTCATCTACATTTTCATCTAGACAGTACTTTGAAAATCAGCTTCATGCTGTGTTAGGTGAAATCTCTTACTATGAAAATATCTTTAGGGTTATATTCCAAAATCTGAATGTGAATTTAAATTCAACTAGACAATTTTTTTTTAATATATTGGAAGAGTTTATTTTGGAATGTCAATCTCTCTCTTAGGGAGGATGTTTGAAATGCAGATACTGCTTTTCATTTAGATAGCTCCCAATATTTCCTCGAATTATTCAAAACAGCTTACTCGAAAGGTTATAAAATGAAAGATGTAAGAGAGAAGCTTTGTGTCATGGGCAGGAGTGAGATGTCATGTATTTGTATCAGAAATGCAGGCTAAGTGTAGGTACTGCAATGGAACGAACATTTTAAAAGGTGAAAGACATACAATCTGAAGAGAAACCACAGTATGAACATACAACTTAGCTGTGAGCTTCCTGGCAGCCACAGCTCAGAGGAAAGCAGGACACGCTCGCAGTTTTGAAGGGGACAAGTGCCGGTCAGGTGTGTGTGTGTGTGTGTGTTTTCTAGGAATAAATACGAAGGGGAATTCTGTGAGAGGAGTTTACATAGGACTACTATTTCTATCTTTATTTGAGTGAAATCTGTGATCTTTATGAATATGATCCCTTTCTTTCTTTTCTTTTTTCTTTCTTTCTTTCTTTCTTTTTTTTTTTTTTGAGAGAGAGGGAGAAAGAGAGAGTGGGGCAAGGGGGAGGGGGACAGAGGGAGAGAGAGAATCTTCAGTAGGCTCCACCCCCAGCACGGAGCCCAAGGTGAGGCTCGCTCTCACAACCCTGAGATCATGACCCCTTTACACACAATGACAGAAAAATATGAATCTAGAAAGCACCTGATCCAGGTGGTGGCAGGGTATATGAGGGAACAATGTGGCAGAGCGATGTACGACAAGGGTCCCACAGATGTACAGTTCCCGCCATCGAACTGGATACACACGTCCTTCATTTCTTTCCGGCTTGATGGTAGAGAGAATTTCATATGGGTGTCGTTTAGCACATGGCTAACCTGGATCCTAGAAAAGCGCAGAAAAACAACTCTTAAAGGACCCAGACGCTTAGCACAGTTGACTTCTGAACATGACCATGTATGACTTTTATTTGAACTGCAACAACCCACCCACTATCGCAGCAGTTGGAGGCAACTGCTGGTTCATCAGGGGCCGCTGACCACTGTGGGTGTCACCTGGGGCAAGGTTCCTCTTTCTTCTGTGCATGTTTATGTTTTTATTTGCATTTCCCATGGAAGTGGGGCAAGGAGATGTAACCATTTCCCTTATAAGAACTCCTAACAGAAAGTGGAAAAATGGACGTGGTCCTAGGTTATGTTAAGGAATTCTGGTTAATTTTGCTGAGCATGAGAATGGCACTATCCTTATCTGTAGGAGACATATACTGAGCTATGTGTGAGGGAAAGGATATGGGGTCTGTGACATGCTTCTAAAAACCCCAGCCACCATCCTTCCTTCCCCTCCAAAAATGAAATGAGATAGGCAAGATGTTGCTAAGTTTTGAAGCTGGAGGATGGGTACAGAGAAGTTCGATGTACTCTTCTCTCTTGGGTATGACTGGAAATTTCCATAATGGAAAGCTTAAAAAAAAGAGAAGTTCCAGTAGAGCAGGTTAGAACCCCATCCTAGGCAGAGATAGACGATTCTGCCATTCAGAGAGCAGAAAGCCCATGACCAGAGCCCATCCCAAGAGCCCCGGGGTTTCAGGGTTCAATCAGCATCAGAGCCAAACTGCCTCCCAAGGAGCTGCAGACAAGAAATTGTTTGGAAGTATCCTGGGTGCTTCTGACATCCAATGGGGCCTATCCTCCACACCCTTCAGGGGTCAAAGCAAAGCCTTCTAGAATATTCCCTCTGCAACCTGCACTTCCTCTGTACATCATGTCTACAATGACCCTGTAAAGAAAAGGTCATTAAGACTGGGTTGTGCTGAATAACGCTCGGTGTAATTAGGCTGGCTACATGTGACTTTATCGACACTAGATGATATGTGCACGATTATTAGCGCTTACACACATATCCTGTAGGTAGTAATAACAGATCCTAACAAGAAGGCAAATTCAAAAAGCAACTGAGTCAGTGTGCATTCACCCTACCTCGGATTTACATTCTAAGCTTTATATTCAGAGCCGAGCTCTAGGAAATTCATCGTCAAATGGCTGATCATTAAAATCCAGACTTGTTTACAAATTTTGGAAGGAGACAGGCGGACATGTGGGTCATTCTGCTATTATTCTTGTATTTTTTTCCCTTCAGAATAATTAGGAATTTGAAAAATACCATAGTAAAAGAGTTAGGGATTATGGCATGAACTCCCATATAGGATTAACTGGGTATTATGTTTACTCCTCGTGAACTTGGGTTCACCACTCTGATGTGGTTACTGAAATGCTACACGCAGAAAGGCCTCAGAGTCATTTAATTTAATAACTGCAGTATCTCAAGACACATTCGGAATTGAAATGAGAGCATAAAGAGTCAAAAATAGGGTAATGCTCTGAACACTGACTTATTTTCCAGTGACGATGATTGCCTTTCGGTGAACACACAGGTGTCTAACTTCACAGATTTTGCTACACAAAATGAAAGATTTTTGCAATAAGGTATTTAGCCAGGATCAACGGCACAAAAATGCCTATGCCGCATAGATATAGCCGTTAATGTGTGCTTGATAATTCTGGTAAACAGCAGAGCCTCCCACAAACAGCTTTCTCCATCAAGATGACAGACATCCCAAATTTACTGCGGGGAGGGGGAAGAGGATGGCCGTGATATGCAGCAAATGAATTAAAACAGAAAATTCAGTAAATAAGTATGGCAGATTAAAATGCCATACAAATCTGTTGTAGTAGTTAAAAAACAAAACATCATGCTTCAACACGTTGGCTCCTATGCATTTCCACGATGCGAACAAGCTCGGTGTTATACTTCATAGAGATTGTGGATGTCTTTTACTTCAAATTAACTCAAAGTTATAAAAGCTAACAAGCAGAAAACTCAAATTATCTATTGAGTTATTATTATGATTTCTCTCTTGGGGGGTAACATTTGCACAAGAATGTTGGGGAGACACTGAAAAATTCTTTTCTCTCTCAAAGTTTCACTGAAAGGATGAGTTAGGGGAAAAGAAATCCCAGAAATAATGATGTTCAAATGGTACACTGACCAGATATCTGTGTTGGGGAGTTTGGTCTTTTTTTCTTTAACTACTAACATATGTTCCATTTCATTCATGTAGCCTGACACCAATCCAATGAAGAGAAGGCTATAACAAATAAAACAGATCAGGAAGCTTCATTTTTCAACTTTGGGTGATACATTGGAAGAGCTGTTCTATTTTATCATCAAATTCCTAAGAATGCAACTGATTTCCTAAGGGGATCATTTTCAAGATCATGTTTGTTATCCAAAATACTTGATTTTATTAATGGATATGGATTAAGACCTCAAATAGGCAAGGCCCTAACATTAGTGGGTTCTGAGGTTTTGGGGGGTAAGAAGGAACAGATTCTCTCACAATTAACTTCAAATGTGGTGTTTAAATTATTCTCCTTCTTGAAATTATGTCTTATCCAATATGCAGACCAATGGCCAATTTTGGCACATGGCAATACTCTGAGAAGATCGTAATCACAATGATATGCCTCTGGCATAAGGTTGAGCTTTTTACTATATTATCAAGGATAAATGACTATTATGTCAACTCACACATCCTTCTCGCAAGTACTGGTTCCTTTCAGGATCATAGTAATTTTGGATGCCTGGGTAAAGTTTGCCCCCGTGACGATCACATTGCTTTTCCCTAAAGTCGATATCTTCCGTGGCTCAATGGACTTAATGTAAAAGACCTGTTGGAAATAAAGATTCACACACAAGATCAAAGCTAAGAAATGGCATTGTTCCAAAAAATCTGTTTATGTGCTGCTGTTCGAAGAAATCACTGGGAAATTACGACATTTTGCAAACACAAGCAGACAGTGTTTAATGAAATCAATGAATTCAAGGAAGAGTGCCGAAGATTCATGTCTCTCAACATGCGACAGCATGAGGTCAAACCAATTAGTCTTCGTCTCACAAGACAGTTGAAAATACAGTTGAAGAGTCTGACATTCTGTCTGAAGGGTGAGATCTCATCAGAGTCTTGCAAATGCTCAGTGCCTTACGGCTCCCCATCCAACAACATGAAAGGAAAGACAAGGTGTCCGCTGAAGCTAGGCCAAGAAGCGTTATCATTAAACTGGAATAAATGTCATTCTGGATAAATTTAATTCCCTAGAAAGCAGTGCCTATTTTTTGTTTGTCTCAGTTGGGCTATTTGAAAATCAACCCAATCCGCCACCTAATATCCAATAGTCAGAAGCCAAACTGGTGTGGTCAATTGTGTCTTCTCCATGGTACCCATTCATGTACGCATAGACACTTTACTTCTCTGTTTGCAATGTCTAATCAAAATTTCCTAAAAAATCTGACTCTTGGTTTTGGGTCAGGTCACAATCTTGGGGTCATGGGATGGAGCCCCATGTCAAACTCTGCACTCAGCATAGAGTCTGCTTGGGATTCTCTCTCTCCCTCTCCCCTCACTCATGCTCTCTTTCTCTCTCTCTCAAATAAATGAATGAATAAATAAATAAATAAATAAAATCTAAAAAAACGGAAGGGTTCCACACAGGTAAGGAAAAAAAATGACAAATTCTCCTTAAAAGAACAAGGCCTTCATTTGATGGCAGAATCACTTTCCCTTTCAAAGATGAGACAATTCTGATTTCTTTCACTTTTCTCCTACAGATGCTACCATCTATCATTTTAATCATTTTGTCGTCTTTCATATAGACTATTTCCCGCGTGTCTGTGTTCTTCTATGACAGGGTGATCAGAACAGGACAGAAAATTCTGATTCTGGCCGATATAAAGTACAGCAGATCTCTAGCATGACAGCATTTCATACTCGCACAGTTGATGTTTGAAAACAACCTCCAGGGCTAGAGACACGGAGTCATGTGAAATTTGGCTAAGCCATCAATGCCAGTGTATCCATGTGGAGGACCCAATCCAGGAAGAGGCCACCAATGGCACTGGGAGAGCATCAGTCACGCCCAACACCTGTCTACCACCTGCTTCCTGAAGTAGCCTCCTGTTCCCCGCTCCTTTATAGGTTCCCACCTATAAAGGAGCGGGGAACAGGACTTGTCACAGTGGACTTGTGGGGCTGTTCTCACGAAGCCTCCTGCTGAGAGGGAGGTGTGATTCTGCTCCTCGGCAAACACAGGTGCTATATGGCAGAGCAATCACTAACACTCATTAGCACTATGGATTGGTTCTGTGGGTTGAGGTAAATTCATCGTTCGTGTCATCCCAGCAATGATGTCATGTGACAGAGAATTGATTTCCATGGCAGAATTTATTTTAATCACTTAGTAGAGGACTTTTGCCCCATATTTATAGAATCACGAAGGGTCTGAAAGGGTCACTTTAATTACTCTGTTATACTTGACTGCACTTTATGGGGGAAATTAGCTGCAGGAGTGGTACTTGGAGTAGGGGGATTAGCAAAGACTTCAAGATAAATCCCTTGCAAATGTCAAGTGTGTGCTCTATGGCTAAAGGCTTACTCTTCACTCTGACACGGTGACAGCTAAGTGAACGCATATGTATTGAGCAGGTAGGGGTCCCCAGAACAGCAGCAGGTGTCATGGGGGCATATGATCTCTGTGGGCACCAGAGCAGGAGTTGGCTGCCTAGTGGATCTGCCTGTAGCAAGCCAAATCCAGCCCATTACCTGCCTTTGTATGGCCCATGAAAGAAATGTCAAAGAAGTAATAATGTTCCATGACATGTGAAAATACATGAAATGCCGATTTTAGTGTCCACCCCATTCATTGATGGCTCGCCCGTGGCTGCTTCGCGCTACAGTGGGGAGTAGCTGTGGCAGAAACCGCGGAGCTCACGAAGCCTAAACCTTACACCATCTGGCTCTTTGGAGAAGAAACATGCCAGCCCTTGCACGGGGGAAATCCGCTGCCACCTTAGGGTGGCAAGATAGCCTGTGTTTTGTTATATGTTAATCCCAACAAAGACTCACATTTTTGCCCAAGTCTGCCACGATCTCCACGTTTCTTTCTGGACAGCCCTTCTGGATTCCTGTATTTATACTGGGATATCTGCTCCAACCAGAGTCTCACACACCCCAAAGAAATGCTACTTCTCTACCCTTGGGAGAGGATAAAAAGAACCTTATAACTAATGTAAAAAAAAAAATATTTTCGGGGGTTGTATTTTGCTCCTTAAACAGTTCTGCAAATGCCATCGGAGGACCCACCACATTGCCTTATTAACTTTTTATTTCTCCCTGAGCAGAGAGAGCCCTGCTACTTCAAAAGGATTTTATTTTTAAACCTTATTGTTTCGAGAAGTTTCCATCGGCAGTGTAGGATGAAATCCAGCCCCGGTCTATCTCCTGAAAGCAGATGCTTCTAGTCTGTTTGCAAAGAGGGTCAGATTAGTTGCCCTTTGTTTGCTTTGAGAACCTCTCTTAATAAGTGAGTTAAAGAGCTAGCAAGAGGACCTCATCGAATACACTGTGCAGGTATAAAAAAAAAATGGGGGTAGCTGTACAGCTGTACCATGGGGCTGTAACAATTCTTAGAAATATAACATTTTCTATTTTTACTAATAAAGGTTTTAAAAATCCTGTACAGACAGAAGGCAAAGAATGACCTCCCGACAAATGTTTCACACATTTACTTTAAACCTATTTTTATATTTTAATCAAGAGTTAATCTCACAGCCTGGTAGGAAGTCGTGGGCCCCCCGAGCTGACACACAGAACGGGTTAATTTAAAAACAGAATCTAGTTTGATATAAAGAGATGCTTTCTTCCAGACATACAGTAGGACTCCACCCTCGTCTTAGGACCAAGGATTTCCATACGCCAAATCTAAATACCCATGACAGTAACCTTCACAACCCGCGTTGTTCGGCAATTAACCTCGGAACAGTCCACTTCTTGTCAGTTACATTTTAAAGACAGAAGAATGCTTTTTGAATGGCTGCCCAAGTTTAAATTATTTAATAAAACACTATGAACTCTGGTCACTCACCGGTTTAAATTACTCCCCATTTTGTATATGAAAGCACATTAGAAACTGGTTAATTAGGGGATTACAGAATCCCCATTTGTTTTTATTTTCTTAAAACGAAGTCACTGTGGAATATTGGAAACAGCACAGCCCTTAAGAATAGCTATCTCTGGAAAGGTCTGAGAGGGTCGCTTCTGACAGAGTACGTTTTGTGAAGTCTGACGTCAACACAATTCAAATTACCGTGACATTAATGGAGAAACTACTGCCATGATTGAAAAGAACACTGGAAAGAGGTGCATTACGAAGGCTCCATTTATTAAGACCAAATTGTACTCTATTAATCTGTTTTAAAAAAATCTGAATATAGCAAAGCTCTCTGTAGGCCTGGACCCAAATCGACGCTCAGAAAAACATCTCTCAGAGTTTCACTGGCGAAATTAGTTCAAACAGGACTGGATGAAAAGTCACATGGATTCAAAACCAGCTGGAAATCTGAAACCAAAGGACATTAGAGAGATGAAAGGTAGCACAACTAATTAAAGGAAAATGTCCTGTAGGGCTCGACAGGGGTGAATATTTGGTTCAGAATTATTTAACATCTTTATTAATGACTGGGAAGGACAGAAGTAATGTATTCATGAAATGGAGAAACTGAAAAAAAGCGGTGACCGGCAGCGGGAATGGGGAGGTATAAAAGGAGGTGAGATCCTGAAAGAAAATACAGTCCCGCCAAAGCAAAAGGAGAGCACAAGAGAGAACAACGAAGTCACGCTCCCTCCCGGCAGCCCTGGGACAGGCCCCAGGAAACTTGGGATGTAACCTCCAATCTCCAGTGGGTCCTGGGACATACCAAGAGTCAGAATGACAACTGAGATAGAACAGAAGATGACAGACCAAGGTCCTGGGCTAGGAGATCAAGGCTCGCTTCTCTGACATGGGGACTCTACGGGGAGGCTGATACGGCCCCAGGAGGGGCTACCAAGGCCACTCCGCACAGTAGTCACTCTTGGCCGCTAACCTTCTGAGTGTGGCAGCTCAGAACTGGCTTGGGTGACTGGGACTCCAGGACCAGGGTGGGCAGCTCTGCTCCTGGAGAGAGGCCTGACTGTAAATTAGACCCAACCTGTCCAAATCCACCCCTCTGCTGGGTTTCGACTCCAGCATGACGCTCGTGCCACTCCAGTCTCCTCTGGGCCTCAGTTTTCCACCTTGGGCCTCTTTGGTTCTCCTGGTCCTGGAGAAGATACCAGTCTTGCTGGGGTCTGCTCCCTCCACTCTCACCACACCCCAGCCTCCCCTCTCTGGGGGCTCGGAGGCTGATACCCCCCTGGCCCTGGCTGGAGGTCTTCAACCCATGTTTGTGCCATGGACGGGCCAGGACGGGCCAGGCTCTGCCAGTTAAATGCCAAGAGAAGCCAGTGTTAGTTTTCTTCCCTCCAGACTGACTCTTATCATGAACACGAAATCATTTCATGCTTGTTTCCATCCTTCGAGGTCCTACAGAGTAGAGTAGTGGTTAAAACTGCAGGCTCCAGCGTCAGACTGCCTGTGTTCAGAGCTCTTGACTATCATTTACTAGCTACCTATCCTCCGCACGCCAAGAGCTCTCTGTCTGTAAAATGGGGACACTGTGAGCTCACGTCAAGAGCTACTCTGAGTTCAGGACACAGCACAGGCTCAGCAACTGTGGGTCACCACCGTGCAAGCTAGTACAGCCTGGCGGTCCTTCTTATTCCTTCTTCTGTTGCACGCACTGAACTGCTTCACGA